AGCCTCGCCGCCCTGCAGCCTCGCCGCCGGTAAGCCCCCTCCTTTCTTCCCGCCGTGCCCTCCGGGGGCCTCCTTCTCTGAAGGACGGCACCTTCGCCCAGCTTGAGTCTTCCAGACGCTTCTCCCCGTGTTCCTTCCAGGGCCGCGTCCGAGCAAGACAGAGTGTGGCCGCGCGAGCCCCTCAAGAGTCGCTACTTGCTGCGTTCTAACTTGGCCGTACATTTTTGGGGAGAAAAGTGGCCCTGTTCATACCATGATGTGGATTATAGTCTGGTACAGTTCGGCCTTGTTTACCGGGTACATCAGTAATCCCTAACACTCTTCAGTAATCCCTAACACTCACCAATGATCCCTAACACTCACACCAATAATCCCTAACACTCACCAATAATCCCTAACACACCAATAATCACTGACACTCACACCAATAATCGCTAACACTCATCAATAATCCCTAACACACCAATAATCCCTGACACACCAATAACCTTAACACTCACATCGATAATCCCTAACACTCACACTAATAATCCCTAACACTCACATCAATAATCCCTGACACACCAGTAATCCCTAACACACCAATAATCCCTAACACACTGGAGGTGGTTGATTCAGCTGCTGTTGCTTGGTTAGCCACTTTGAGCTGGTTGCTAGTCACGGGTGGTAGATTAGCCACTTTGAGTTGGTTGCTAGTCACGGGTGGTAGATTAGCCACTTTGAGTTGGGTTGGTTGCTAGTCACGGGTGGTAGATTAGCCACTTTGAGCCAGTTGCTGGTCTTGAGTGACAGATCGGACGGACCCTCAGGAAAGCACAGTTTAACTCTATCTCCAGAATTTTGAGCCACCTTTTAGACTTAGAGTAAAAGTGCTCAGCTGAGTAGTTTGTGGTCATTTTACTTTCATTTTCATGAAAGCGGTCTTCTCTTGATTTCACTCATTTTGTAGTAATTTTTGGAACAAAGACAAGCATTTTCCATGAAAAGAGAAAATGTGAGTGGTTCTCTCTCCACTGTTTTTAAAGAAGTTGGCCAGTTTATGCAGAGGGAGTTGTCTTCTAGACCTGTGCCTAGAGGCCCGGTCCAGGTTCAATTTATATCCACGTCCCATAGTCCGGGAGGCAAACAGTCCGTGCATGTTTGTGCCCCTTCTTTCTGACGGGTTTCCTGAACACAAAGATCAACCCGCACACATGGGTCTGACACTGTGTTTTCCGGTTGGTACTGAAAGCAGTTTCATGCCCAGAATGGGCATGGTTTCCTCATCAAGAGCTTTACCCATTCATATTTTCTTTTCCTGGATCATCTTTATCTAAGGATTTAGGAGGTGACAGTGACTGATCTGACCTTGTGATAATGTTCTGACTGAGACTCCTATCTGAACAAGATGTTTTCCCTTTTGATAGACCACATCAGTTGATCCTGGTGACGGTGAAGTGGCCTCATGCAGTGGCTTCCTGGGAACCAGCGGGACTTCACAGCAAGGTAAGCTCTGCTGAGGCTGTTCCCCTGAGCTTTGTTCCCTGGAATAGAGCAAGAGGGACTTCATTCACCCAACCTTAGAGACCTAGGCTTGGTTTGTGAACACTTTTTTTTTTGAATGCCTATAGTCATGTACTTAGAAGTTCCCTAACATGGAGTCAGCTGCTAATGCTTAGTAAGTGGTAATTCGCTGTCTTGAGGAAGCCAGTGTTCTGATTCTGTCTATTCAGTGAAGAATTTTGAGAGGAAGAAAAACCCTCTAGGAATCTATGACATCCAAATGCAATGCTATCATTACCTGCTGGGATGGCCGAAGCCTGGCAAATGCTGCTGCTGACTTTGCATCTTCCCTGGGACACACACCCCTGTCGGGTGGTAGCTCTCTTCCCTGGGACACACACCCCTGTCCGGTGGTAGCTCTCTTCCCTGGGACACACACCCCTGTCGGGTGGTAGCTCTCTTCCCTGGGACACACACCCCTGTCTGGTGGTAGCTCTCTTCCCTGGGACACACACCCCTGTCGGGTGGTAGCTCTCTTCCCTGGGACACACACCCCTGTCGGGTGGTAGCTCTCTTCCCTGGGACACACACCCCTGTCTGGTGGTAGCTCTCTTCCCTGGGACACACACCCCTGTCGGGTGGTAGCTCTCTTCCCTGGGACACACACCCCTGTCGGGTGGTAGTTCATTTCCTTGCAACCCTGATGTGGTCTTGGGATCTTTGTCAACATGCCACTGTAAGTACACTGTCACAATAGGAGTTGGCATGCCCAGTGTATTAATTATAAGTTTGCATAACAAGATAACAGAGACTAGGTGCTTAAATAATAGAAATGTATTTTCTCATAATTCTGGAGGCATCAAATCTGAGATCAAGGTGTTGGCAGGGTTATTCCTTTTGAGGCCTCTCTCCATGGCTTGTAGCTGGGCTTGTTTCTCCCTGCTTCTACGTAATGTTTTTTTCTGCATATGTTTGTGTTCTAATTCCTCCTCTTATGACATCAGACCAATTAGTAGTCACTTTAATTACCTAACTTTAACTTACCTTTTTAAAGATCTGTCTTCAAATAACAGTAACATTCTGAAGCACCATGGGTTCAGATTTCTACATATGCATGTAGGGGGACACAGTTCACCCGATAACCTCAGGTGAAACCTGTTAGTTCCCCTGTTCTGGCCACCAAATTCGTTTTTCAATTTCTAACAAATGTGAATGCCCTGGGCACCTAGGACCTCCCAAACTGGGAGTCTGGGGCTCTTACCCATCACATGATTGGTTTTTCATTCCTGGCGGGAGATTCTCTGGTTCCACTTAGACGCCCCTTCTTTTCCTGGCAGGAAATTCTCCAGCCCCCTTTCACACCCACCATGTAATCCGATTTACACAAAGAGAGGGAGTACACCAGATTGCACCATTCAGGCATCATTCCACCTTCCAGACTGTTTTTCCATGTTGGCTGTACATTCTTTTTTGTTGTTGTTGTTTGTTTTTGTTTTTGTTTTTTTGGGGTCCAGTCGTGGGACCTGAACTTGGCCTGGGCGCTGTCCCTCAGCTCTTCAGCTCAAGGCTAGCGCTCTACCACTTGAGCCACAGCGCCACTTCTGGCTTTTTTTTCTTTTTGCTTATGTGGTGCTGAGGAATCGAACCCAGGGCCTCAGGCATGCAAGGCAAGCACTCTACCACTGAGCCACCTTCCCAGCCCCGGCTGTACATTCTTACAAATAGCAAGTGATGGAAATCCTTCATCTTTGGAAAACAAATTCAATTTCTGTTTATTTAATTTATACAGTTTACATACATATATAATTACCTTTTTATCTGTTGAATCCATCATTCTTTGCAAGTTTTATCAGTCTTGCTCAACTGAAAATCTATTCCCATTAAATGATAAATTCCCCTTTTCCCTCAGTCCTTAATATTTACCATCCTACAGTAGCCTGAAATTTTAGAAAATGTCCAACATCTTTTGAAATCAGGATCATTGGATGATATAAGACAGTCTACTGAGGTTAATATAATTTGAGAATAGAATAGAATTCATAGGATAGCATTATATTGAAAGTAGATTTTGAATAGATTTTTAAATTAAATTTTATTTTCTTCATTTAACAAATTGTGTGTCATGATTAATATTATGGCCTCTGGATTTAAGATGTATAATTTCTACCTCTCAATTTATTGATCTGTAAAATAAAGAAGTGACAACGAATTTTTAAAAGTTTATTTTCTTGAGAAACAGACTCTATTGAGAACGATAAAGCCAGTTGTTCTGAGCAGGTAAAAGTGACGACATCTGGGAATTGCATTTAGTATCTATCCCACAGGAGATTCCAAGCCAGGGTTCTAGAGATTCATTACTCATATTATTTTCAAATAATGTACTTTAATATTTTGATTTTTGGCATTCTGTTGTCTTCAAAGTGTCAAAGACACATCAGAAAACCCCAGCACCTCTTATACTATTTAAACAGGGAACATTCATTTTGAAATAAATTTTAAGCCAGGCGCTGGTGGCTCACACCTGTAATCCTGGCTACTTAGGAAGCTGCTATCAGAGGATTGCATTTCAAAGCCAACCTGGGCAGGAGACTCTGTGAGACTCCAATCTCCAATTAAACACCAGAAAACTGGAGTACAGCTGTGCCTCAAAGTGGTAGAGAGCTAGCCTTGAGCAAAAAGCACTCAGGGACAGCACTTGGGTCCTGAGCCCCACAACTCATGAAAAGAAAAAAGGAAGGAAAGGAAGGAAACAATTTTAATGTGTTTAATTTAAGGTGTTAATTTAATGTGTTCAGGATAGTTCCTTTTCTTTTCACTGGGAAAAGAAAGGGTTCCAACCCCACTCTGTGCAGACACTGGTATGGAACTCCAGTGTGCTTTCAAGAAGGAAAACAGGAACAGTTTTACAGAGCTAGACATAGGGAGACAGATTTCTCGCCTTATAAAAAAAAAGTTTAACATATAATGAAAAGGGCATGGGTGGGATTGGGACAGTTGGGGAGAAATTATGGAAAGGATGACACTGATCAAAATGCATGGTACTCATACACTTACATGTTAAATTGAAATCCCTTTGTATAACTAAAGATAATAAAAATTAAGAATATAATTAGAGGGGCTGGGGAGGTGGCTCAGTGGTAGAGTGCTTGCCTTGCATGCATGAGGCCCTGGGTTCTATTCCCCAGCACTGCATAAGCAAAAAGATAAAAGCCGGAAGTGGCGCTGTGGCTCAAGTGGTAGAGCACTAGCCTTGAGCTAAAAAAGAGCTGAGGGACAGCGCCCAGGCCCAGAGTTCAGGCCCCACAACCGGACCCAAAAAATAAAAATAAAAAAATAAAAAAAAATATATATATATAATTAGAACACTAACTCAGCATATTTTATTTATTTCTACAAAATGTTCCATACTTCATTCACAGTCTAATTTCTAGGTGAAAAACTTTTGCATAGTTAAGAACATTTTAAAATTCGCAAGCATCTGGGGCTGGGAAGGTGGCTCAGTGGTAGAGTGCTTGCCTTGCATGCATGAGGCCCTGGGTTCAATTCCTCAGCACCACATAAGCAGAAAAAGCCAGAAATGGTGCTGTGGCTCAAGTGTTAGAATGCTAGCCTTGAGCTGAAGAGCTGAGGGACAGAGCCCAGGCCCACGACTGACAAAAAAAACAAATCATAAACATCTGAGTTTTTAGATTCATTATTGATCCTAGTGGTAGACAATATCATCAGAATGATACGTGAGTTATTATTGTGTTCTCATATTTTAGACAAAGATGGTTTATCTTTGGATAATGTTAGAAGTACTGTTGCAGAAAGAAGTGTGAAGATGAAACGGGACTTCATGGACCTGGGTATCTGTATCAGACAGAAATTGGCACATGTGAAAGACTGTAAAACAGGTATGCCGTAAGCATTTTTTTTGTGTGTGTGTGGGGGGGTGGGTCTGTCGTGAGGCTTGAACTTGGCCTGAGCACTGTCCCTAAGCTCTTCACCTCAAGGTGAGCACTCTACCACTTGAGCCACAGCGCCATTTGTGGTGTTTTGGTGGTTAATTGGAGGTAAGAGTCTCATGGACTTTCCTGCCTAGGCTGGCTTTGAACCTCGATCTTCAGATCCCAGCCTCCTGAGTAGCTAGGATTACAGGCATAAGCCACCGACACCCTGCTCATAGTACTTTTTTTTTTTTTTTGTCGGTCGTGGGGCTTGAACTCTGGGCCTGGGCGCTGTCCCTCAGCTCTTCAGCTCAAAGCGAGTGCTCTACCACTTGAGCTACAGCGCCACTTCCGGTTTTCTAGTGGTTTATTGGAGATAGGAGTCTCACGGTCTCTCCTGCCCGGGCTGGCTTTGAACCGAGATCCTCAGATCTCAGCCTCCTGAGTAGCTAGCATTACAGGCGTGAGCCACCAGCGCCTGGCTACTTTTTTTTTTTTTAATGGTAACAAGTCTTGCTTAAAAAATTTCCATTCCTACATCTAAGATAAACAAGTTCATATGCTTGTAGAATATGTGCTGTGTGTGAAGTACTGTCTAGATACTTTAGATGTTATGCCATCATCTAGCAAACTTACTCATGCATGCACAGAGAGAGAGACAGACAGACAGAAAAGAAAATATTTTGTGAAATAGTCCTTACCTTACCACCTGTCAGGTATTTTCATCCATTGTGCAGTGTGTATGGGGCTGATATAGAAGATCTTAAAAGATCTCATCTGACATTCTCTAGGTTGGCTTCCCTTGGTCCATTTATATGGGATGCTATGTTGCCATTTCCTGGGGATCTGAAAGAACAAAAGAGATCTTTCCTTTAAAATAGCCCCATGACTCCTGGCTCCTAACAGATCTATACAGAGACTGAGAAAACACTGAGGGACACAAAACATGTTTTTCTTCCTCACCACTTCGGAGGCTCATGCTTCTACTTCCTCCATGAGAAAAGAAAAGTCATGCTTATTTGATATCATTCTTTTCTGTAAGTCAGAGTACAGGAATCATACATTCTATAATGCAGACTGTGTGTGTTTTCATGAAGAGAGAAGAGGTAAGAAGAAACTCCTTAGTCATCTCTTAGATTTTGTCCTGAGGCAGAATGAAGATTATGTCATCCTGAGTACTGACTATGCCATGTTTATCTCTGATTTTATCCTATGCACTTTTAAGCTGTAAGTAAAAATTTCTTTAGGAGGAAGGAACTTCTATACACACATATGGTCTCCCTACAGAAACTAGAAGCTCCAGGCCCTGTTGACTTTTACACAGAAAAGATACAGTTCCTTCCTAACTCCAGTCTTACTCCTCCATGTCTCAGGGGCTTGTTAGCTGTTTGCCTAATGATCTTATCACTGATGGAACCTTTCCAAGACTTACAGAAGTATGGTTACCTTTTGATTATTTTGGATTTCCCAGAGGTTGGGGAGTTACACTATTAGATGTAAGAACCTGTCCGTTTCTTTGTAATCTGACTTTAAAGCAGCATATGCAAATGTTACTGCAGCAGATTTCAATTGCAGTGATTGGAGCTGGAGGCAGGCTTGGGAGGAATTTGGGTTCATTAACTTCTCCCAAAGTTAAGAATGTTAGTTTCTGCTTCCATGTTTCTCTGTTGCCTTGCTTCACAAATGAAAGCATGTCAGTTCACAATGTGGTATGGCCGAGCTTCAAGTTTTAGACATCAGCTGCTACCACTGACTAAAAATGCTTGCTTTATAGCAACTATTATGCAAATATAAGTTTAAATATGATTAATGTTAATAGGTGTAATTTTTAGTGAAAAAATATTGTTATTTTTGTTTCTTTCCCCAGGTTCGAGTGGAATACCTGTGAATCTGGTTACAAATCTCTTCAATTTAGATATTCCCCGAGACTGGCATCTCTACCAGTACCATGTGACTTATAATCCAGATATCGAATCTAGAAGGCTGAGGATTGCTCTGCTTTATAATCACAGTGAACTTGCCAACAAAGCAAAAGCATTTGATGGTGCTATCCTTTTTCTTTCACAAAAGCTAGAAAAAAAGGTAGAATATGGTTTTCACCACATATGTGCGTATGTATATGCATGCAGACATATGCTTAGACATGTATATTTAAAAGATAGCAGCTAGGCGGCCGTGGCATATGTGTAATCCTAGCTACTCAGGAGACTGAGACCTGAGGATTGCAGTTCAAAGCCAAACCAGGCAGGAAAGTCCATGAGACTCTTTCCTCCAGTTAACCATAAGAAAACTGGAAGCAGTGCTGTGGCTCAATGTGGAAGTGCTCAGGGACAGCACTTAGGCCCTGAGTTCAAGCCCCACTACTGACCAAGAAAATAAAAAAGATAGGATTTTTTTTGTCATGAACAGTAAATTTTTTTTTAACTCTTAACTTTTTCCTGTTCCCAGCTGGAAAGCTCAGAGACTTCCTACGTTATCAGTATTTGATTACATGATTAAGCCCTCGATGTTCTAGCACTGTAAAAATAAGAGCTACAACTATCCTAAAAATAGGCATCATGTAAAATGTTTCCATAAATGGGAAATACCTTTAAAAACACCATGTACCTGTGTCTTCAGAGCTTTTAATTTGTTCTGTTTCATTTGCATCTGCAAATGAAATCTCAAATCTGCAAATCGCACCTGAATTACCAAACAGCTTCAGTCTTTGAATACAGAACTGACATTTCTTTTATGACTTGTTCTATCATATGAAATATATAGTGATGTGTTCTAAAAGTATTTTTAAGTTTGACCACTAGACATGAAAATAGATATTTTGTTATATCCACTGTTATGCTTTCAACATCTTCATTCTTAAAGATATTGATGTTCTTATCATAAATCTTGTTTTGTAGTAAAATTACTACAAAGAAAAAAACCAGTTTCTGTATGAAAAGTTAAAACACAGAATTAAATACTTATGTTACTTAGAAAGTGAATCCTTGGGCTGGGAAGGTGGCTCAGTGGTAGAGTGCTTGCCTTGCATGCATGAAGCCCTGGGTTTTTATTCCTCAGCACCACATAAGCAAAAAAAAAGAAAAAAAAAGCTTGAAGTGACTCTGTGGCTTAAGTGGTAGAGCCCTAGCCTTGAGCTGAAGAGCTGAGGGATAGTGCCCAGGCCCAGAGTTCAGGCCCCACTACCAAAAAAAAAAAAAGAAAAAGTGAATCCTTAAACTCAACATTTTAAGTAGCATGGTATAATAATGTAAGTTTAAATTTCCAGATTATAAGTACATATTTGGAAATTTACTCAAGAAATATAAGCAAACCGGGTACTGGTGGCTCACGCCTGTAATCCTAGCTACTCAGGATGCTGAGATCAGCCAGCCCGGGCAGGAAAGTCCATGCGACTCTTATCTCCAATAAACCACTAGAAAACTGGAAGTGGTGCTGGGGCTCAAGTGGTAGAGTGTTTGCCTTGAGCTGAAGAGCACAGGGATAGTGCCAAAGCCCAGAGTTCAAGCCCCACAACCGACCAAAAAAAAAAAAAAAAGATAAGCATTCTTGGGACCTTTATCCTTTAATGAGACCCTGTGCTTTTATGCTTAAAATTTAGTCAATTTCTAAGCCAGTTTCTAACTTGTTATCCTTGGAAAAAATCTCTGATGATAGATTGATACTTGTTTTCTGAATTCTTACATTAAAAAACGAATACAGTGCTAGGAGCTGTTACAGAAACAAATGTTTGCATTTTTACATTGTTAAAGCATGGTTCTAGGTTAGAAAAGTCCTAACAATTTCCTCAGTACCTTATCTTTCCTTCTTTTCTTTTTTTTTTCTTAAGGAGGAAAGATTTGTTTTGGCACATGGTTTCAAAGATTCCTTCTCAAATTTTCAGAATGAAATTTCTGGAATTTATTCTAACTTCTACCTTTATTCCTCCTCTCCTCATTTTTACTTTCTCTCTTGACTACTCTCTTTTGGTTTGTTTCTCTTCTCTGCTTCTCTGTTTTATGAATAAGCTTTTGAGCATGTGTAATTCACAAACTTGACAGGAGCAGTACAGCCCTCTAAGAGACTTATGGGCATCCAAGCGGTCCCTGAAAATGGGTGCATGTGTACTCTTGTGGTATATACATATGTGAAGCTTTCTTGGGAGGATATTTTTCATCTTTATCAGACTCTTAAAGTAATTCATGATATGTCTTCTTCTTGCTCACCAAAATGGTTACAGTCCACAGTTCTGGAATTCTTTGTGTATCAAATCGTCTAGCTATGCATCTGGCTTTAATTTTCCTTTTGTTAAGTTAGAGAATAGAGTGATAGATGATACCATATAAATGTATATATATAGGGGGGGAGAGACATACACACACTAAGGAATTAAATACTCCTCCCAACATAAGATGAACATTAAGTTATTAATTATATAGGAATATCTGTGGTTCTCTTTTCACTCATGTATATGAAACATGTGTGGCTTTCTGATACCTTCATCGTACATATTTGAGGAAGCCCAGCAGAGTGCCTTTTAAGTGCCTATTTTCCCAGGTCACAGAACTGTCAAGTAAAACTCACAGAGATGAAACCATAAAGATGACTGTCACTCTAACGTGTGAACTGCCCTCAAGCTCTCCTATGTGCATCCAGTTCCTCAATATCATCTTCAAAAAGTAAGGAATTTTAAATGTAAATTTAATTTGTACTATCAATACTTCTCAGCATAGAGCCTGGGTATTAAAATACTCAGTTGTTTGTGTTAGGTCTCAAGGCCCAGGTCCTTATCATAAGTTCCAGACCAGTGCTTTGAGTTAGAAATACTGTTGCTTTACTCCCTCCTCTTGTCTGGCTTTTTCTGAGTAAACCTGTGCTGGTGTTGGGCCATCTACTTGTCTACTATGTCCCTTTTTTTGAGGGGGTGAGGGGACAGTCATGGGCTTGAACTTGAACTCAGGGCCTGGGTGCTGTCCCTGAGCTCTTTTTGCTCAAGGCTAGTGCTCTACCACTTTGAGCCACAGCTCCACTTCTGATTTTCCAGTGCCTGGGCTGGCTTTGAACCATGATCCTCAGATCTCAGCCTCCTGAGTAGAAGGGGTGAAGGTGTGAGCCACTGGCACCGTTTAGTGTGTACCTTTTTAACCTAACAATGTGTAGGCTATACCCCAGCATCATCACTGGGACAGTTTCTTTTTAATATGTACTTTTATGTATTTGACAATAATGTGCAAGCATCTGCCACAGCCTCTGGTTAGCACAAATCATCATTATCAGAACTGAGTATTAGGAGAACTGAGACAAGGCATTGAAGGATTATTGACATTCCATTGGTAGGAGGGTGCCTTTTTGCTTTTCTTTTCTAGTACTCCATTACATCTTGACCCCTAGACATCAGTTCACTGTGTTTGCTTAATCAGCTGAAGGACTTATTTTTCTCCTAGCTGGTTGATTAGAATATAAAAGGCAACCGCCATCTGCTTTCTGTCCTGGCAACACCTTCTCCCCCTCCCCTTGATCACATAGACACCTGGGGTAGAAGGAAGGAACTAAACTATTCATTGTTCTTCAGGCCTAATATAAGGATCATTTGTTCCAAAATCATCTTGGGTAGGATTTAATCAAGTGCAAATTCTCTAGCTCCACACCAGATCTAATACATAGACTATCATGGGTGGGGCCTGGGAATCAAAGTGCTTCCCAGCTGACTGGTGGATACTGTAAAGCCTATGCACAGTTAGGAAGAGCTTGTGTGAGTCATTCCCATGCACTGCTCAGAAACCTTAGCCAACCACCCATTTGCCCAGGCCAGCCTCTGGAGAGGACAGACTCAGGCAAGTTTTGGCTTTGGTGAGTAGGGGATATACATAATGAAACACCACACACAGTTACACTCTTTCCTAATTCTAACCCTAAACTTGTCTTGTCTCTCTTGATCATATCTGACATTTCCCTTTTCAGAAGCCAGTCTGGCTTCTGAAATAACCCCTCTGAGTGGTTTATTGTGAGTTAGTTGACACTTGTAAGATGCCTTCCATTGGCGAAGCCTTTTCAATTGTTTTATCTTACAACGTGCTTACTGAGCACCCCGAGGAAGGTACTTGTTATAGAAATCTGACTTTATAAATAGGGAGATGATAATATTCAGGCTAGTGGTTGAAACCCTAACTATTCATAAGGCTGATATATGGGGATTGTGGTTCATATCCAGCCTAGGCAGAAGAGTCCATGAGACTCTTATCTGCAGCAAAAAGCAGGAGGTGGTGATGTTGCTCAAGTGGTAGAGTGCCAGGGAGAATGCTCTAGCCCTGAGTTCAAGCCATAGCACCCACACAATAAAGATAATAAATAATAAATAAGCAAGACTTGAGCTTGTGACATTTGGTAACCCACATCACAGAGGTAGAACCCTTTCATTCTGACTTGGACTCAAACTCTATTACCCCTCTCCTCCCCCCCTCCCCCCCGCCATGCAGTCACCTCCTTTTTGTGATCTGAGGTACTGGAAGTGACTGGACAAGTGGCAAAGGGTCACCCCAGTGAGGTAAGATCTTTGAGCAGCTTGAACAGCTTTATCAGAAATCTTGCCTCTTCTCAAAATGGGGAAGAGGCAAGTTGCCTCACCCTTTCCAGCTTACTATAGTAACCACAGCTGCAGTTCAATGTTAAAGTAACCACAGCTGCAGTTCGGTGTTACAGTAACCACAGCTGCAGTTCAGTGTTACAGTAACCACAGCTGCAGTTCATAATGGACCACAAATTTATCATTGAAGTTAAGCTCAGAGAAAAATAACTTCACTGTGTCATTCTCAAATGCAATGACAGTCCAAATATAGATGGATATTTAGTGTGTAAATATTCTAGAAGAAAAAAAATCTACGCATTCTAAGTATTTTGTGTTCAGCTTGAGTACAATTTTAGAACTATACTTTATTGACTAATATTTACCAAAGATTCAAAAAATACCCTTGCAGGATATTAAAAAAGTTGTCCATGTACCAAATTGGAAGGAACTTCTATAACCCTTCAAAGGCAGTGGAAATTCCCCAGCACAAGTAAGTTTGTATTTTCTGTTCCTCTGAAATGGTCATAGTGTGAGCAGGGTAGTTTATAATGCAATATAACATTATGCCTCCTGTGAGGGTCTCTGTAATTTGGAATGTACTGGACTTTTATAATTTTTGAGTATTTTTTAGAGAATGGTAGAGTGAAATGTGAAGCCTTATGTTGTTCTATACAAAGACAGTATCATAAATTATAGAAGAAATTCAGAAATTGAATTTTATGAATATAAAAATGAAAAAAATAAGATGAACTGTGTGTTGTAACACATAGCTGGTTTCCTGTGGTCTTATTGAAGTTAGAACATTCAAGGTGGTTGGCATGACATCATTGTGGGTAAATAGAGAATTCAACAGAGCTACCTTAGTGAAGGCAAAATCATTCAGAATACTTGTATATTATTTCCAAACTGGGAAGTTGGTGCTGCAGGGAAAGTGTCAATCCTGCCTTATACTCATTAATACATAGCTCTCTGGAAAAAATACATATATATACACACACATATATAATATAGATTATGTGGGCATGTATATAAATAATACATATGGTTGTTCTCTGTTATTCTTTATTACCTTATATTAATTAGTACATAATTCTCCAGAAAAAAGTACATATATACACATACATATATAATGTGTGTTTAATATAGATTATGTGTGTGTGTGTGTGTACACACAATACACATGGTTGTTCCCTATTATTCTTTATTACCTTAAACTGGTTGGTACATAGCTCTCCAGAAAAATAAATACACATACACACATATGTACAATGTATACTTAATATACATTGTATGTATATGTATAACATATAGTTCCTCTCTATTCTCTATTACCTTAGACTTTCTCCAGAAAAAAAGAAAAAAGTACATGTGTATATATATGACATGTATATATAAAGACAGATATATAAACAAAGTGCATAAAGGATTGAAAATCTGTGTGGATAGGAATATCCATGGGTTCATTGTTGAGCTAAGTTACAACAAGTACCCGGTACGTATGCTTGTCCTGCAGATTGGCTAGTATCACAAGCTAAGCTTTCAAAGGGTAGACTAGAATTACTTGTAAAAAAAAAAATTGTCCTTTTGTTCATGTCATTTCTGTAACTTCTTATTCAAGACTTTCAGTCCATATAGAAAGGATCTATAGCCTGGACTCTGGTTTCTTTTATATCTCTGCAAATGAAATCACTCAGGGCTTCAAGCACTCCCTTGGCTTTCACTGGAGGCTAGCACTCTACCACTAAGCCACACCTCTACTTTGAGCTTTTGGGCAGTTAACTGGAGACCAGTGTCTCACAGACTTTTCTTCTAAACAGTGCTCAGATCTCAGCCTCCCGAGTAGCTAAAATGAAAGGCATAAGTCACATTTTTGGCTCTCACTGCTGGGAGCATGATGCTGAAATCCAGTGGGTAGAGACAAGGAATGCTGCTCACCATCCTACAATGCAAAGAACAGCTCCTAAGCAAGAGTTATGCAGTCTGAATATCAGTAGTACCAAGGTCCTACATGTATACTAAACACTCCAACAGAAAATAAAAATTTTAGTTAGCAACTGGAAGAAATTACACTAAAGAAAAAGTTACCTGTAGGGAATTAGAGTGAAAATCATCACTTAAAAATCTCTGTTGTGTCAGGTACGGGTGGCTCACACCTGTAATCTTAGCGAATCAGGAGGCTGAGATCGGAGGATCATAATCAGTGCCAGCCCAGGCAGGAAAAGTCAATGAGACTCTTATCTTCAATTTGCCACCAGAAAACCAGACATGGAGCTGTGGCTCAAAGTGGTAGAACACTAACATTAAGCAAAACAGTTCAGGAACAGTGCCTAAGCCCTGAGTTACAGCCCCACAAACCACACACACACACACACACACACACACACACATCTTTATTTTTCTGGTATAACATTTTAAATACAATATTTTTTCTTCTTTTAATTTGTTTTTAAAGATTATCCCTTTGGCCTGGGTTTGCCATTTCTGTGTCACATTATGAAAGCAGGCTCCTGTTTAGTGCTGATGTAAGTTATAAAATTCTCCGGAATGAAACTGTTCTGGAGTTTATGACTGATCTCTGTTACAACGCTGCTATGTCTGACTTCACCCAGATGTGTGAGAAACAGCTTATAGGGCGCATTGTCCTTACAAGGTAAACATCTACTCAGTGTTTTCTATAGAGTGAATGACTTGGGTTTCTGTGAATAGGAATTTCATGGGAGCACTGGCCACAGCACAAGTCTGATAAGTTTGGCCACCTGTGCAGAAGATGTGGCTACTCTCCATTGTCTAAAGTTCAGGCTGTCTCAAGCTGGCATGGTCCCAACATTATTACTTGTTGTATACCCTTCTTCTGTTCTGACCCTCAGCAGCCTGAACTTTGTCACTTTAGTGCTCCTGCCTGGGCTCCCTGCCCCAAGTTCTGTATTTCAAATTTTCACCTCCACAGATGAAGTATAAGTATGTTACTCACCTGCCTGTTCCCATAAACACTTTGCTTTCAGCCAACTCTTGATGATCATTATATTGCATTTTATTAGGTTATAGTACTGAACAGGAGATCCATAGCTTACCTTTTTTGTAAGATTTAGGGTCTTTTAGATCAAGAGCAAGTTTTATTTTTTGTAAACTTCTACATTTATATATATATATATATATATATATATATAATTTTCCCTCCATACACATTGAACTGGATTAAAAATTGGTGGGTTAAATGACTTCCTGAATTCAAAAAATTCAGCACATCCTTTTTTTTTTTTTTCTGGTCCTGAGCCTTAAACTCAGGGCTTGGGTGCCGTCCCTGAGCTTCTTTCACTGAAGGCTAGCAATCTACCACTTGAGCCACAGCACCACTCTTGGCTTTTTCTGGGTAGTTTATTGGAGATGAGAGTCTCACAGACTTTTCTTCCCAGGCTGGCTTCAAACCATGATCCTCAGATCTCAGCCTCCTGAGTATTAGCATATACCTAGTAAGAAATAATTTTATTACTGTTAAGGTATAGTACAGAGGGCCTACCATTTCCTAAGTCAGGTAATGAGAACATTTCTTCTTTTGGGCATTGTCGTCCCTTCCTTTGCTTTCCCCCCAGATCCCCCTTTCCCTGCCCAGACAGCATATAGTTTTGCTGATCCAAAGAGGTGTCTTAGGGACTGTGTTAGTCTTCGCCTTCCACTTAAAGTTACTTTCTGGGTCATATAGGAGAGGGGTAGTTCAATTCCATACTGCTGGGCCAGGAAGATCTCCCTCTGCACTTCTGTCAAGATTTTGATGGGTCAGCATACCACACTCTTTCAAGAAGCCTCCTTTCAGGATACCTAGCTCTGGAGAAACTTGCCTTGGAGATTTCTGTGGGCTGGAGCACATGACAGGATGTTGCAGGCTACGCAGTTCTGGTGGGGAAGAGTGGTCTTAGGCAACCTGACCCACGTTGATTAAACAAGACGGCAGATCTGTGTGGTTGCTTAGCCTACTTGGTATTTATTATGAGAAAGAATCCCTAGTTTCAGAGCAATTTGAATGACATCAGAACAGATGGGAAATTTTAAAGTAATGCTTCTTCAATTGAACATTTAACCATGATTTAACAGAAATGTCTGTCAGTGAGAAACACACATTGTATTCTACCAACTTTCTCACTGGATTTGTTGGAATACAAGATCTTGTTTGCCAAAATGGTAATACTCTTGTTAGGTAATACTTGAACATGCCAAAAAAATGCAACTATCTTATGTTACTGTCTCATAATTTCTGACATTCTGGAGTCTATCTTACACTTTAAGTAACAAGTGTAGTGAAATGGCTGCTTGTCTGCATGATCTGAAAAACTTTCTTAAAAGTTTCCTGTGTTTACCAGGTACAATAACAGAACCTACCGCATTGACGACATCAGCTGGTCGGTGAAGCCAGTGCACACCTTCAAGAGGCGGGATGGCTCAGAGATCTCCTACATAGATTATTACAAGCAGGTATGGATGTGTGTATTTCCTTTCATCTTAGCTTAGAGATCTTTTCATGTTCCTTCCCAGTGCAGGAAGTTCCCCCAAGTTACCAGGTGGAGTCTGCCTTCCAATAACATCTTCTCCCTTCTCTATTCCCTGTCCCCCAATTGGCTGAGATTCTCATTCTGCCTTCTGCTGCTTTCTGGTAGTCTCAGTATTCTCCTGATAATATCACTCACAAGCTTAAAACAACCCGTGATTTTTTTTATTGCTTTAGTAGTCAAATATGAGCTCTGCACACCTTTCTTTTTTTTTCTTTGTCAGTAATGGGACTTGAACTCAGGATCTGGGTCCTGTCCTTGAGCTTTTTTTTTTGCTGAAGGCTAATGATCTACTAAGCCAAACCTCCACCTCTGGTTTTCTAGTAGTTAATTGAAAGAAGAGTCTCATAGACTTTCCTGCCTGGGCTGGCTTCAAACCATGATCATCTGAGTAGCTAGGTTTACAGGTATGAACCAACAGTGCCTTGCAGGCCTTTTAAAATCCTTTATCATTTGGTCACTTTCTGCCTTTAAGCCTCATCTCTTGTATTCTGTCCCTTCCCTGTTTCTTGGCTGTTTCTCTCCTGTGTATTTTCACAAAAATAGCTTCCTTTCCCTCCTATTGTTTTAAACCAGACAACATTAAATATTCTTGACTATTTTTAGCTCAACAATCAGCTCACAGGGAAGCTCTGTGACTCTCTTTCCAGGGCTTAATGAACTTAGCTACATTAGATCATCTTAAGCAAGATATGAACAGTCTGATCTCTCTTAAACCTTAGTCTTTCTAAAGTATGACTTAAGCTCTTTGTTTCTGGACACCCACAGTTAGCACAATTCCTTGCATGTAGCAGATGCCCAAAGGACATTTACTGATGGTCTCCTGGTGCCTCTGGACACTGGCCCTGAGTCAGCTCCGGGGAAGTCTCTGGACTGTGTACAAATCAGCTGGAGGCTATTCTGAATCTGGATGAAACCCAGAGGAGCATGAAAATGGCTTTTTAAAAGTCTTATGACATAAAAGATAATTAAAATCATAAAGCTGAACCTTAAATATTTTTAAAAAAGTAAGTCCTTAAAAGAAAGTCGTAAAGTTCAGGAAACTGAGGGACATTTTTTTCTTCCACTAAAAAGGCTCATTTATGTATACATTTTGGGATTTGCTTCTTTCTTGCAGTGTTTCCATATTAACTTTCCCCTCATTAATCTTGCATTTTATAGCAGTATGATATTACTTTATCTGACCTAAATCAGCCAGTGCTTGTTAGTCTGTTGAAAAGCAAGAGAAATGACAACACTGAACCTTGGATTGTCCACCTGATACCAGAGCTTTGCTTTCTAACAGGTAATGTTTACCTTTTAAAACTCTGCTGGGCTGCAGACCACAGGCTCCTGAACCTCAGCAGTGGGCACAAACTACTTTATGGTGGCTGAGTGCCAGGGCAGTAATTAAATCATGGAGACAATAGTAAAAACAAGTGAAAGGACATAGTCCCCTTTGAAATCTATTTTCTCTATCCCATGCATTCCACTTGTTACTTTGGTATAAAATAGGCCTCTAGATATTTTACTAAAATCTAGCTGCTTTTTGCAGTATTTCTTTTTCCTGTTGGTTGTGGGGCTTGAACTCAGGACCTGGGTAATGTCCCTGAGCTCTTTTGCTCAAGGCAAACACTCTACCACTTTGCACCACAGCTCCACTTCAATTTTTCTGGTGGTTAATTGGAGATAACAGTCAACGTAGGACTTTTCCTGCCTCATCTGGCTTTGAACTGCCATCCTCAGATCTCAGCCTCCTGAATCACTAGGATTACAGGTGTGAGCTATCAGCACCCAGCAATTTTTTGAATTTTGGTAGTATGGAGACCAATATACTTTTGCTTTTCATCAGGTATATTATTACAGTGACACCAAAATGACCCTTAGTTGATTCTTGTGTGTTTACAAAGGCTGCTGTATTTCACAGGTCTGACTGCCCAGGCAGCCTCTGATTTTCATTTGATGAAGGCCATGGCTGCAGAAACAAAGCTCAGTCCTCTGAGCAGGCAGCAGCACCTGGCCAGGCTGGCTGACAACATCCAGAGGTACTGGGGTGTGTTTACGTTTCTTCCTTGATGAACATGTCTAACCTTGATGGCTCCTGACATCGATGTCTAGAGTCTAGAGGGTCAGCCCAGATACTTAGCAGTTCCAGATTGAAGCACAGCAGTGGGAACTTGTGCTGGTAGGCTTTAAACTCTGCTTCAGCTGGACAGCTAAGCTTTTGTGTTTAATACATTAGATCTGGGCAATTAGAATGTGGTTAGTGACATCTTCAGTTGACAGTATTTTGGATATTCTAGGTCAAATAACATGTTTATAGACTTCATTTGTTACTTTGTTAAAGTGTGTAGTAGAAAATTTTAAATAGTTTTGAGGTTTTGTTTTTTTGGTGGTACTAAGGCTTGAATGGAAGGCCTTAGGTTGGATAGACAAGCACTCTACTGCTGAGCCATGCCTCCAGCCCTTTTCTGTGCTGGTTGTTTTCTTAATTTTATTTTTTTATTGTTATTATAAAGGTGATGTACAGAGGGTTAAAGTTTTGTAAGTCAAGTAAAGAATACATATCTTTTTTGTGGGGGGGGTTGGTCGTGGGGCTTGAACTCTGGGCTTGGGTGCTGTCCCTGCGCTCTTCAGCTCAAGGCGAGCGCTCTACCCCTTGAGCCACAGCGCCACTTGTGGTTTTTGAGTGGTTTATTGGAGTCAAGAGTCTCATGGACTTTCCTGCCCCGGCTGGCTTTGAACTGGGATCCTCAGATCTCAGGCTCCTGAGTAGCTAGGATTACAGGCGTGAGCCACCAGCGCCCAGTCAAGAATACATACCTTTTTGGACAGTATCACCCTTTCCCTTGCTCTCTCCCGGTTTTTCCCTCCTGTTTCCCCCCACAAGTTGTACAGTTTATTTTCATTATAGTGTCCAATGAGTACCACTGCAGCATCTTCCCTCTATTTCTGTCCCTGACTTGGGCTCCTGAAAAAAGACAACAGTGTGCTGGTTATTTATGACGTAGGGTCTTGCTTCCTGCCTGGGCACACACCTGGTCTGCACTGATTCCTGTTGCCACTGAGGTGGCTGATGCCATCCCCACACCCCCTTCTCCTACTGAGAGGAGAGCCCACACCCCCTTCTACTGAGAGGAGAGCCCACACCCCCTTCTCCTACTGAGGGGCCCACACCCCCTTCTCCCACTGAGAGGAGCCCACACCCCCTTCTATTGAGAGGAGCCCACACCCCCTTCTCCTATTGAGAGGAGCCCATACCCCCTTCTCCTATTGAGAGAAGCCCACACCCCCTTCTCCCACTGAGGGGCCCACACCCCCTTCTACTGAGAGGAGCCCACACCCCTTCTCCCACTGAGGGGCCCACACCCCCTTCTACTGAGAGGAGCCCACACCCCCTTCTCCTATTGAGAGGAGCCCATACCCCCTTCTCCTATTGAGAGAAGCCCACACCCCCTTCTCCAACTGAGGGGCCCACACCCCCTTCTCCCACTGAGGGGCTCACACCCCCTTCTCCCACTGAGAGGAGCCCACACCCCCTTCTCCCACTGAGAGGAGCCCACACCCCCTTCTCCCACTGAGGGGCCCACACCCCCTTCTCCCACTGAGAGGAGAGCCCA